GTAAGGAGCTTATTCAATAGAGCAAAACGCTCTGGCAGGTGGGATGAATATAGAAGTGCACTCACTGACTACAACAAATCAATCAGACAGTCCAAACGGACTAGCTGGCGCTGCCACTGTGATAGGATAGAGAAGTTTCCCGAGGCAACCAGACTACACAAGGCTTTAAATAAGGTCAAGACTAACGAAGGCCTTTTAAAAAATCCGATGGCTCCTTCACTACTCGTCGTGAAGACACCTGTTTAGAATTAAGGTTTATACTATTTGTTTAGAATTAAGGTACATTGTATTATGGCCTTTATTTATTTTACCATTTTAATTGTGTCGTAGCCTTTAAGCCTTTAATATTTTTTGGTTTGATCACCTTTTTAATTTAGGGTGTTTATATTTTTTTTTTTATATTTGAATATTTTATATATATATATTAATATTATAAAGACAAATATATTTTATATTTATATTTGTATGTTTTTTATATATATATATTAATATTATAAAGACAAACATGTTTGACAGTTATTCATTATGTTCGCTTAAATTTATATTTATTTAATGCAATTTTAGAATTGTGTATCTTCCTGTGTTGTGCTATTTTGAATAGGTTTATATATGCACTTTGTTATTTGTTATTTTATTTATTATTTGTGAGTGATTGAAATAATTGAATTACATTAAATATGTTAATTCTAATTTTAATTTAGATTTAATAAAGATTTGAATATTATTTTTATGGAATAGTTATGGTGATATTGTGTATTAGCAATATTTGATTTGCTATAATAGTTAATGCAATATTGTGTGAGATGTTATTGATAATGTAAGTGGATAAATAAACTTTAATAATATTTATTAAGAATGTTAATTTGTATTATATATATGAATAATATAATATTTGCCAATTTAATCTAGACTTCAGATTTTATAACAATTTACTATATGGACTATATTTACTTAGACGATACATTTATCCATTCTGATGAGTCCGGTTGGTTACCGGACGAAACGCGTCAATGGAAACCATTAACAGTCCGACTTTTGTTGAATAAATCAACACAATAGATTAACCTTTTATTTTATAGACGAACGTAGGGAAATATATACGGACAGCACACAACTACCATACATATTTAAAAAATCAAAACTATAATTCTATTATTTATTATTTTCCTGCAATGTATGTATAAAAAACTGACATAATATATATATGGGAGTTTTTTAGGTATATATAAAAATAAAAAATTCTTTTCCAAAACACCCATAAAACATAAGGTGGATTAAAATAACTAATCCAAACAGTCTCTAATCAAACTATATCTAATTTATACATAACCAAAAATATGCATTGTATGTACACAGTATACTTATATTACTAATATGTATTATAATAAATATTACATCCATAAACCACACCAAAAAAGCCCCTCACATCCTATAAAGAAGGGAAAAATCCATAAAAACTTAACACAGAATAAAATATAGCAATAGTTGAACACAGAATTAAGAAAAATAAGCAAACATAAAATTGCGCTCGTCTCTACCCCCTGGGTGGATACATACAAGAAAACCTTTTTCTTCTTTAACTTAAAAAATAAATTGGAATTTAACCTTCTACTTATATTTTTCGGGAAAACTAAGTTATACAAATTAATATAACATATCAAACTGTATTACTTTAATCTTTTGAACACCTAATTCTTGATTTAAAAAAACACCAAATCTCAAGTTCAAGTAAGAACCCAATTAATGAACTTACTTATAAATATTTTAACATACCCTAAACGTAGATCATATATAAAAAATGTCCATAAGCATAATAAAGTTAGGTCATTTCGTAGATATAGCAGAGGTTATGAGGATCATCATATTAGACATGTGTAGCATCATAAACAAAATATTTTGTATTTGATAAGATAGTAATGTAAATTAAGATAAGTATATTTGATAAAGTTTTTAAATAAATATTAAATAAAGGGTTTTTGATATTAAAATAATAGACCATCATCAGCTTAACTAAGAAATAAGGTTATGTATGTGACATGGCAGAGCGGAGCTCCTTGCCCCAGAAACAGTCTCTGGGTGTTTATTTGAAGACGAAGTTTTTTACGGCTATCTTTTATACAAAGAAAGTCTTAAACAATGTAAGGGTAACAATGCTAGTACCCACTTAAAAAAACATTAAAATTGATTTGACGAGGGAGTTTTTTACATGTATACAGAAGTCTAAATTTGATGTATCCTTAATTTTGAATAATAGTACAAAAAACAAATTAAAAATCCATCAAAAGTTAACTGCTAATAGGTTAAGTATTACAAACGCAATACGTTGCACCAGGAACAGTGAATTACTGTTACCTGAAGACGTTTGTTTAGGCTTGTCATGATGAGAAGGGCTTGGGTGGATTCCTGGGTCAATCTCGTGAAGTCATGAGAAGTTTAAACGGATGTAAAGGTAACAATGCAAGTACCTAAAAACAAAAAAATTTACATTCAAACCATAACAAGAAAACGTAGCCCGAAACCAGAAAATACTTACAATGCAATATCGACAAAAACTCGAAAAATAGAAAATATTTCGACAGCGAATCGTTTTGCCGTTCTAGCCGAAGATGATAAAAATATCAGACCCGCCCCTACCCAGAAACCGCCACCCATATTTCTGCATGAAAAAAATTCAAACGCTCTTATATACTCCCTAACACAAAGTATTGGCAAAGATTCATTCCATGTTGTGCCTCTTCGTAAAGGAAATGTCGATGAAACAAAAATCTCGATCAACGAAGAAAAACATTACAGAGCAGTTGTAAACAACTTCGAAAAAAATGGAAAAAATTTTTACACCTATCAATTAAAAAGTGCCAAAGGATTAACAGTGGTTATAAGAGGAATAGCACCAGATTTGTACACAGCAGAAATTAAAGAAGCACTTGCAGAAAAAGGATTTAAAACAAAATCTGTGTACAACATTAAAAACCGCGATAAAGTTTCGACACCGCTATATAAAATAAAGCTTGAACCAGAAGGAAAGAAACTCAAATCGAACAAGGCTCACCCAATTTAATTCCTACAATTCCTACTCCACAGAAAAATATTAGTAGAAGAACCACACAAGCGTAAAAACCCGGTGCAGTGTACTAATTGTCAGGAATATGGACATTCGAAGTCCTATTGCACACTCCACAGTGTTTGTGTTGCATGTGGCTAGTGCAAGAACAGGTATTTTGTAACCAAATATTTTAACAAACCACGAAATAGCTAAATATGAATTGACTTGAAGAAATTACTACATATCAAGACAGGGGTTGCCATTACCAAAAATGATAATATAATTTTCGCAATAAAAATTCCAATAGAAACAATAAATGTCAATAAAAAATTATTCAAAGACAAATAATTTTTTCAATAGGACGATTCTTTCCAAGACTAGAGAAGCTGGTCGACATAAAAGGAATGACTATTATACAAATGGCACTGTTGAATGTTTTATATTTTTTGCTTTGTTTAATTTGCTTTCCTTTAAAGTAGTTAAAATAACGCGCGAGCTGCTCATTTTTTATTGTCAATATGCAACCCAATGTTGACTTTCGTCAACCTTGCATATATACGGTACTTCAAAATATAAAAACAATATAATTTTACAGTTTTTTGGCTTCACGATTGAACTAGCATTCTCGATCGCTCTCTTGCATTTCAAGTTCCAAATGAACAGCACGCGTTTTATTTTCGATTCTCAATTACATTTCGAAGTGATTTGTTAAAATTTAATTTCTTAAATTAAGTGTAAAGTAATTTGAATAAAATACTTTCGTTGTAACTTTCGTTTTTTATAACTTCAATAAATACAAAAACTCTTGTATTTTTTCATTGGCGCCCGAGCAGGGACTTGAAATCAAGTAGTAAATAATTTAAAAAAAAAAAAGTGAAATTTAGTGAACATTGTTCGGTGGAGCTGCAATTGGCAGCATCGTGATTTTCGTTCAGTTTAATTTTTCATTTTCCACGTGTGAAGTGGTTGCGGTAAATGTCGGTGTGGTGTCAAGTATCAGCACCAGACAAAAATCGTTAATAATAATAAAAAAAAAAAAAAAATCAACAAATTGCCAATTTCATCTATTCTGATGAAAACACGTGCAGGCTGCTGCTATTGGTTTTTTATTGCTTAATTATCATTGCTACTGTTGGCCGCTGCTACAGTAGTTTCCTGCTCAATTCTTATTGCTGCTGTTGGCCGCTGCTACTGGAGTTTCCTGCTCAATTCTTATTGCTGCTGTTGGCCGCTGCTACTGCAGTTACTGCCATTAATTCCACATTGCTGCTACTGGCCGCTGCTACTGCAGACTGCTACTGCATTTCGCTGGTGCTGTTCGCTGTCACTGCAGATCGATACTGCTCTTCATTGCTGCTGCTATTCACCACTGCTGCTGTTTCTTTCTCTTTCTGGATGGAGTGCAACTGTAACACCACTGCCCTTTGTCAGGTAAGAAAGTGCAAGTAATGATATAGTTGTACTAGGTCATGCTCTGACTAAACAAAATAGTCAAGGAAAGTATTTCAAATAACTTTTGCACTGGTAATTATTTGCACTTTTAAAATACATATATTTATATTTATCCATATCTATAATAAATAATTTGACGTGAAACAAATTTACCAAGCTGAGGTTGAGCTTCATTAAACATATACGTTCGGTAAATCCAATTATTTAATACAAATAATTGAGTAATTTGCAGGGGCAAATTATATACAAAGTGAATGCATTTTTCGTTTTCGTTTTCGCTAGTTACTTGCAACCACTTTGTTGGAATTTATCCATAATAACAATATTTGACTATTTATCGTTTTTTATTATCGTATAAACAAAGTAAGTGTATCTTTCGTATCTCTAATTTCTCGCGTTCACTTTGTTGGAATTTACTTACAACCGTCGCTCAACAATATTCAAATATTCTTATCGTTCTTTGCGCTGCATTGCCTTCTCTCTTCGAAATTTTAGTAAATTCACTATGTCAACGAAAAAGCGACCACCATTCCCACAAAAAAATGAAGATTTGGATAAACTAATCCAGCAGCGAGAAACTGTAGTGGCCAGTATCCTGCGTATTAAAGAAGTAATATTGGAGAAAACTTTTGATTTAAATCCTGTAGAACTGGACTGTAGGTTGGACATTCTCAATTCACATATTAAACAGGCCATGACTTGCCAGCAAAAAATAGAATGTATCAAGGAGTTTGATGTACTTCGACCAGATCTAGAAGAAATCTATGTTGCTTCAAAATCATTGTTCTTACAGGCGTTAGGTAAAAACCTCAAGTCTAGTATCCCTGATACTTCGCATGAATGCAGCAATCATCGTTCCAGGGTGCCAAATATGCGTTTACCTAAATTCAGCGGGAAACATTCTGAATACAAAAACTTCATAAGCCTTTTTGAAAGCTTAGTGCACAATGATCAGTCGCTAAGTGATATTGAAAAATTCAATCATCTCATTTCGTGTTTGTCTGACGAAGCGCTTGGTACAGTTTGTGACAACTAAATTTTTTTGAATAAATTTTAGTCTTGCCACAATACGCACTTCACACGTATTTAAAAATGATGACGTCAAAGTTACCTATAATGAAATAAAATTTGATGTTGTGTAAGCTAACATATCAAAAGAATGCTATACATACCTTGAAATACCCTTGTGAATATTTATTTTAATTAATATTGTAGTGCCCATGACCTACGTTAATATCATATGTGACAAGCCACTGTTCATTCAGACAAAATAAATGTGTCATAAATTCATAAATAATATGCACTTTTGTCGGTTTGACGCTTTGACTTTGATCATATTACTTAAAAGAAATATTTTGACTCATGCTGTTACAAATATGCATTTGTAACAAAAGACATGATAAGCATGTATGGTCATTGCACTATTCCGACCTAAATTCTAGAAAGTACATTAACTCTTTAAAAACAATATATGACGTATTATTATAATGCGTTAGAAGAGTATTTGTTTATAAAATATATGTAATAAAATAATTAATGTAATTTATGGGAGTAACCAATGCATTGATTGGTTACTCAAATGAATCAAAAAGTAAATAATAATTGTTTAGTAAATAAGCTAGAATAAGTATAAATACCCATAATTTTGATAATAAAAATAGATTCAATTTAACTTAAGACAAGGTTACGTCTTTTATTTGAATCGTGTTCTATGCGGCATTTAGATGCTGAAAGAACAATAAGCGGCTGAAGAGCTTAGTAATACTCAACAATAATCTGATAGGTCGTTTCCACTCTTACTGGTCGATAGGAGATCCTTAAATCATTTCAGGACTTAAATATTATTAATCAAGAAGACCTAATCCAGCAATCATGCTAATATATATATATATTGATGATTCTGACATCCTGCAATAACCATTATATGGCAATGGTAGAATAACATAACATAGCAATAATACAACATCATTACATATGGTGATCCTGTTAAATCAGCACATATCATTACATTGCGATCAATCATCATTACACGGCGAACCTACCAGATTAATAATCATTACAATATAATTCGAACAATATTAATTAAAATAAATTTAAATTACTTTTCGCGAACCGCATGAAACATTGTATTAAAAGGCAAAAAAACAAAGCATGATCAAAAAAAAAATAGAAAAAAATGAGAAATGTCATTTTTTAATTTGTTTTGTGCATTTCGGTTGATCGTAAAAATGTTGCAGCGGATAATAAAAGGGAAAAAAAGCTGTGAGTGCAGTTTAAAGCTTTCAGAAGCCTGAAAAGAAACCAACAGAATACCTGATGAGGGGAAATGTTGAGGGCATTGACCGAACAACGGCTAGCAAAAAAGTCCGCTCGACGCAGTTAGAAAAAAGGAGAATAAAAGGCGCAAGCGGAGGAGTTTCTGTCTCTTGGCTCGTGGTTATGTTGAACGCAACGCATCGTACCGGTGGTGTTAATTACTTAGTTTTTTTTTTAAATAAATAAAAAAAAAAAAAAGTTTTCTTTGCATTTTTTTATATAACAATTAAAACTACTTTAATATTAATTTAACCAGTGGAAATAAAATTCTTAAAATTGTGTAATTTTCTTTTTATAATATATAAAGAAACAAAAAAAATTTGAAATAGTTTGTCGAGACGGCGCGAAACGGGATAATAGTGTTAATAGCCACAGTATAAAAGAAATAATTGACGGCTTTAACAGTGGTCAATTAAAAGATTTTGTACTGGTGCTCGTTCGAACGTATAAACGTGTTGACACCACAAGCAAAAGACGTGGCGCGGCTTGGGTGTCTCTTTTTTTTTTTCTCCGATACGTGGCAAAGCTTAAATTGATTGGTGTTTCCTGATAATCATCGCTGGACGTTGTAAGCAGCCCTGATGTACCAGAGAGGAAACGACAGTAGTTGAACGCTGGGTCCTCGCGAATAGAAATTTTCTTGTAAGACCTTGGACTAGGCTGAGAACTACCCCGGCTAGGAAAAATTAGGTTCATTACAAGTTAAGGCATTTCAACTCACTGAAACAAATTACTCAAAGGCATTAGCTAGTTTAAAAAGAGTTTACGATAACACTTGTTTAATCTTTTTCGATAGTATCTCGTAGCTTTTTGAACTTCCAGAAATGAACAAGCCATCTGCTTCTGCATTGCGCAATTCATAGATACCATATATATGTCCCTATATGAGCCCCTATTGTCAATAGGAGATGATAAGAACATTTCAAATGCGATTCTTATTCATTTAGTCATGTCAAGAGTCGATGCCGCTACGAAATCCAAATGGGAGGAGCAATTAGATTACAACAAGCTGCCACTCTGGTCTGATTGCGAGACTGCGTTAAATAAGTGATATCAACACATTTCTGCTGACGAAGCTTCCACGTCAAGGTCTCGATCGAACACGCCAAAACAGGACAACTGGCAAAGTAAGAATGTAAAATCTTCACTTATGTGCAAAAAAAATAGTTCGCAAGAGGAAAGTAGATGTTTGTTCTGTAATTCGAAAGAACATATAATAAATTCAAGCTCCGCTTTTGCTGCTCTATCATTTTCTGAACGGTTTACGTTCATTAAATCGTCTTCGCATAAACTGTTTAAAAAAGGGCATACTGTGTCAAAATGTAAGGCATCACGTTGCATTGACGTGGCATTGATAAGGTAAATTCCACAGTGAATCACAGACTGCATGCTACTGTGAGATCCCGCATCAATTCTCATAATTTCTCGACGGATTTTTGGATAATGCATTCAATATCCACTATAACATTTAACAATACTATAGATTTCATTCAATTTTTCAATAACCTTTTTGATATATTTAATTCTAGCAACATTACAGGACCTAATTTGAAAGCAGGATTCTGTGGCTCAGTTGAGCAAATTTAATTTCTTAAAAATGCATAAAGTTTACTTAAGTCTCTGAAAATTGAAGATAGTGGTGGCAAAAATATTAAGCCTACATTTTCTTTTATTAATGGCTGGCTTCTTAATATAAATAGCCTCTTGGTAATGTGGCAATTTCTTTCCACAAAAGGTTTTCAAGTTTTATTGACCAGAAAACTTTGCCAAGATCGGTTAGAATATTTTTTTGGTGATATTAGAAGAGGAGGTGGTAATTGCACAAGAATAACACCTTATATGTTTTCGTGCCTCTTTCAAAAAAAAATGGTGCTTGCAATATGTTAACATTGTTAACGGTAATTGCGAATATTTCCCTTACTTTGATTGCCCTAATATTAACTTGCCATCCAGTTCGTCACCAACAAACTTTGAAGACCCTTTCCTGTCAACTTCATGAACAGATAAACTTGTTTTAGATACTTCTTGGCAAGATGGAGACCAAAATAAAGCTCAGAACGCATTTCTTAATAATTGCCATTTTAATATAGATGTAGACCTTAAAATATTTTTAAATCGTAATGCTTTCTCTTATATATGTGGATGACTTTTTTTAAAAATGTAAATTAATCATAATCGTCTGTCGACTTTCCCAAAATTGCCATTTAGTTCAACCACCTCCTCCTTTTACTACATATATTGAAAAATTAGAATCACAATTTTCGGATCAGTTCGATAGCAATTGCTATAAATTAGGTGTTAAGACCAATTTACCAATTTATTTATTTTGATTTATTTACACAGTTTATATATAAATAGTGAAATTTTTTAAAGTGAGCGGACGTGTTTTCAAGTCGGTCACCGCAAAAGTTAAAATTCACAGTCTTAAAACTATTTATATTAAATATCTTTGTATAAACCAAAAGTGCAAAGTGCATAAAATTATTAATTTGAAAATAGCGCGCGCTTTTTCGAATTTTTTGTTTATTTTCTTTTTGCATTACTTAATCTTAAATGCTTAAATAGCTGACAGAGACAGCAGATCAACATTTAAAGTTAAAAATAATATAAAAAAGTTTGAGAAACTAAATATACCAATGCGCTTTTGTGCATATATAAACACAACACTGCACAACACAATTCAGTTGGATATATTGTAATTTTTATTTTATTTAATTTATTAATCACCATTATAATTATTTATTTATTTATTGCAATTGCAATTGTATTTTCGCAAAATAAACAAAAACAAAAATTTGTGTTTTGTCAAAAACAGCTGATAGAGACAGCATATGCTTTCTTAACGAAAGTAATAAATTGTAAATGTGGTGTTGCCACAGTGCATGTTTTTAATTATTTTATGAAACGTATTTAAACTTTAATAATTTTATTTAAAAATTTAAAACTTAAATAATTAAAAATAATCATAAAAACATACTTTAATTATATTGTAAAACAAGTGTATGAATAATAGTGCTACACGGCGGCACTCTCAAATCAGTGAAAATGGCCTAAACAGCTATGTAATGCTTACTTCAGATGACATTAAAACTTTGTGCTTCTAACCACAGCTTTTCGTGCTTTAATGTTTGTGTTTTGCATGTTTTGTTCTTCGCCGCGGTTTTTTTCTTATGTTTGACGCAGTCCGTAATTTTCGGGTTTTAAAAATTTAAATATAGAAATTTAAATATTTAATCAACATATAAGTGCATAGTAAGAAAATTAGTGCAAGTATCTTATTATTTTGTGGATTTGGTATATATAGAAAAAAATAAATCAACCAAAGAATTTAAAACAGAAGTGTGCTTGATGTGTAATATTTTTATGTTTTATTGTTTGTGTTGTAAAAAAAAATGTAAACAATGTGTGTTTGGTTTTATTTCATTTCAATTCAGTTTATTCAGTAAATAAATAAAAAAAAATGTGTTTTTATTGTTTCATAAATATTCAAATGTATGTTTTTGTGTTATAATTTGTAAAAATTTGTTTCGTTATTTCTTAATATATTTCAAGTTCATTTGTTGTTATTCATTTTTTTTTTTTTTTTATATTTTTCCTCAGTTTACTTGTCGGCTGTGCCCGCTGCTCATTGTCGTTTGGATCACAGGTAATGTCGTCCTATTATATTTTGTTAAAAAAATAAAATAGATTTTACTCTTTCTAGGTTGAATGTTGGACTTGTTTGGGTGAGTGATTTTTTTGGTGTATTCCTGCAATGGTGTTGGTGTGATATTTTGTGCTGACGGTCTGACGTCAGATTTGCACAAAATATTTATATATGAATATGTATGGTTGAAATTGCTTTATGGAAATTTCAGCCTTTACAATAAGAACACTCTGAATTCTTATAAATAAATATCAGGCAGTCCGTAAGGAACGCCGAAAGTATCGACTGAATACTCATATGGTAAACTTCGCTTTCTTATTTTTATTCAATCATATATACTTTCATCCATTCTGATGAGTCTGATTGGTTACCAGACGAAACGCGTAAATGGAAACTATTGAGTGACTTTTTCATTGGTTCCTTAACCAATTTACTTTTAGTTATATACTACGAATTTATTTCAAAAGAGCACAAGAAAATTAACTGTAGAAGTGAAACTAAGTGCTCTCAGTGCAACAAATTTGGATATATATCAAAAGATTGCACAAGTTTGAAGAATAAGTATATGTCGGAAAAAATGTAAATTTCGTTGTATAGAACGATCGATTTAAAAATTATGTTCAATGATATGGAATTAAATTGCTTTATAGACACAGGTGCTGACGTATCCATAATGAAAAAAAAAACATTTATGAAAGTAAATATAAAAATAACAATTTAGATAAAAACAATACAATATTATCCGGTCTAGGCAGTAAAACAACAAAACCGATTGGAAGTATTAAGGGCAAAGTGCGTGTGGACAACATCGAAAAACAACATAGTTTTCTAATAATAGAAGATGATGTGATAAAAGTGGATGTTATTCTGGGATATAATATTACAAAAGACTTAACATTTAAATTTAACGATGGTTACGTCTTCGAAAATAAAAAATCAGAACAAATGCAGAATGCATTAAATGTTTATAATATAGACACGGTTGAAATTAACGTGGATATAAAATATAAAGATAAAGTAGTAGAATTATTTAAAAATTATAAGCCTGAGCATAATATAAAAAAATCACCAGTAGTTGAGAAAATAATAAGAATAATACCAAACGATAATTTGAAATTTTTTCATAACGCGCCAGCCAGATTACCAATTCAAGAAGAAGCTGCAGTAAACACACAAATAGAAGAGTGGTTAATAAATGGAATTATTAGAAAATCGTATTCAGAAGTGGCAAGCAGAGTGGTAGTGGTTAAGAAGAAATGCGGGTCATATAGATTATCGTCAATTAAACACAATAGTTTTAAAAGACTGTTTTCCAGTACCGATAGTTGAAGATATGCTAATGAAGTTGGGTGATGCGAGGTATTTTATTGTCATAGACTTAGAAAGCAGTTTCTTATACGTACCGATTGAAGAGGATAGTAAAAAATATATATAGAGCTTTCGTAACTAAATGGGGTTTATTTGAATTTAATAATGCACCTTTCGGGTTCTGTAACTCATCGGCCAACTTTATAAAATATATAACAAATATATTTCAAGACTTGATTTACAGTGAGGTGTTGGAATTATATGTCGACGACATGATAATCGGTGGAAAAACACCTGAAGAATACATAGAAAAGTTGAAAATAGTGCTGGAAAGAGCATTAAAATATGATTTACAATTCAAATGGACAAAATGTACATTTCTGAAGACGGGAATAGATTTTCTAGGCAATAGATCGCATTGCAAAGTGAATCGTACAAGAACTTTAAAATTAAAGGAGGACTCCTCTACAAAGGTACAAGTTAACAGTCTGTTTCATATAACGGTACTTTGCTTAAAACACACAATTTTTGTATCTTAAGAAGGTGCAAGGAAAAAACATTAAACACATTATTCCCTTTTCAGAACTCAGTAAAAGTGCTGTTGAAAAAAGAATTTCTGAGGTTTTAAATATTATTATCTTCCATTACTTTACTAGCGATTGTATTAAAATTGCTGAAGAAGACATTTCTGAGTACATATGTTACAGCAATATGTTGCAGACAGCAACTTTGTCCTACACATAAACACTAATGATTTCTTACATAGCGACAGTCTCAATATAACCGATTTTTGCGAAGATAATTTACAGGATCCTCAGGTGAATAAGTTTATCAATTTGTAATAAATAATTTTGGCTAATTTAATTAAATTTGCTTTCCAGGTATCAAAACAGTTTTTACAGCATAAACTTCCGCTTATTAATGAGTGTTATAAATGTAAAAAAAAATTAACGAATCAACAGAGAATTGATGTAGCAAAAGAGATCATTAAACATCTCTTGGTGAATCCAAATAGAATGTATGCTTCACAGTTTAACATTGCAAAAACTGGCTGAATCGATATGTGAAGTTTTTACGGAAGAACTTCCAGAAACATATTACAATAAATATTGCGAAGGATGGCATGCAAGTGGCAAGCTTCATGATGCCTACAATAACTATCGGACAAGATTAGCAGCTTCTGGACTAATTACACGAAGATCAAAATCTACCGGTAGACGTGTATTCAGGGAACACAAAAACAATAAAATTTCTACTGATAACGTAGAAGATGATATTTTAAATCTTGCAACGGAAGTTAATTTTGATGTGGCTTTGCCCCTATGGCAAAGAACCTTTGAGTTTCGATGCAACTTACTTAAAACAAATATATCAACTTCTGATTTTCTACAACAGTTTCTGATTTCAGCACAAAGTACCAACGGTAGAAGTAGTGCAGTTGCTGTCGTTTACTTGTTTTTTTTATGAAATTAATTATATTGACAAAGAACAGTGAGTCGAAAGGAAAGATTGTGTAAGCGAATTTACTGACACCATGGCAATGGCAAATGAAAAGCCTCAGCCGACATCAGAAGTGTGATGTAACTCACAATTACCAACTTCGGAACAGCATTGGCGCGAGATTATCGATCAACAAAATAAAAATTTTAGTGAGTTAATAAAAGTTATGCAGTCATCGGGTGCGAATTCTCAGAATAGCACAAATGTTACTTTGCCGAAATTCAATCCCGATTGCCGTAGCGCGGATGCGTCAGCATGGTACACAACGGCTGATATTATATTAAGTGAAAACTTTTTAGAAGAAAGTGCTCTAGTTATGGCGTTGAGTAAAGCCTTAGACGGCAGTGCCTCGCAGTGGCTTGCGCAAATTTGTTTTCCTGGAATTACGTGGCCGCAGTTTAAAGACCTTTTTATACAACGATATGAAACTGTTGAAAGAGCAGCTGCTATGTTTTTAAATGTGTTGAACAGCCGACCTACTGATGACGAGTGTCTCTCGGTATACGCTACACTCACAGAATTAATTCGTTTATAAAACGTTTGGAACAAAAAAATTACTTTTAGGTGCAACGAATTTCGTTTCTGTCAAACGTACAAAATGATTACAAATAAATGTCGTTTGAAATATAGTTGTGACAAATGAATAGACAGTTATAATTAATTCATTTGGTACAAACAAAAAAACGTTTGTTTTTCGTTTACTACAAACGAAAAATGTTTTCATTAAACACAAACGAATATTCGTTTGAAGTTCATTCTACCCAAACGAAGTTCGTTTACAGCATGGCAAAGTGAGAAAGAGATGCAAGTAAACATTTAATGTGAAATAAATATACACGCGCGAGTTACATTCTCTTATCTTATCCCTATATTAAATATTTTATTATCGTTGTTTGACCTAATCAAACAACGAAATATCTAAATTGCATCCTACTAAAATATTATTATCGTTGTTCGGCCTAACCAAACAACGAATTGTCTTATCAGAATTCGATACTTCGAATTCTCACTATAAATATAAACATTTTATTATCGTTGTTCGACCTAATCAAACAACGAAAGATCTACATTATATTTTATTATATTCTATTATCTTTAAATAAACATTGTAACTTAAAATATTATTATCGTTATTCGGCCTAACCAAACAACGTATTGTCTTATCAGGATTCGATACTTCGAATCCTCATTATAAATATAAGCAAAATTGTTAGTTATAAGTTAGTCTTAAGATTCATTTAATAAAGTGAGCATTAAACTAAAGTTTTGTGCGTTTTAATCTAATTTAATTCGCGTGTGATTTTGATATAGACACTTGGCTTTGCAAGATCAGTTATTGAAACGCATTTGCTGAGTAAAGGCCATGTTTTTTCTTAAAGTGGAGTGCAACTCAAAAAAAGTGATTATAAAATTAATAAATGACTGTGTAAATAAAATAATAAATAAAATAAAAGAAGAATTTAATTTAACAAGTGTTGAATTTTACACTGCAGATAATTTAAATATTTCACATGCAGATATTTGTGAATATATTTGGCAATAAAAAACTGACAGCAATTTCGTCATTTATATCAATTGTATGTAATATTCGTTTACATGTATTTGTGTATTTTGTAATGTGATATGGGTATGAGACCACACATATCACAAAACATTCAATTGTTCCAAATATTTTAAAGTAAACATTGACACAGTTCTATTTTGATAAAATTTATGACAAACTATTGTCAGGTAATATGAGCCTTTATTTTGTCATTACTTTGATGACAAATAACTGAGCCGCACATTGCACCATATGTGCAATATGCAAGTTAACGCCATAAATTATAAATCGCTTCACATTGTTTAGATACTCTAAGCGTTCATAGGATTAACGCTTCTTATAAATCGCTTCACATTGTTTAGATACTCTAAGCGTTCATAGGATTAACGCTTCTAAAATGTGAAGTACTTCATAAACAATCTTAGTAATAAAATTCATATTTTATTGTCGTGCATTAAACACGCACAAATATTGTTGTGCATTAAACACGCACAAATATAGTTGTGCATTAAATACGCACAAATATCAACTATTTGTTTACATTTGAATCTTCCGTTTATAGTTACTTGTAGGTTCAAGTCTTCTGTTAAAAATTATAAGTTTCAGTTTTAAGTAAGATTTCAATAAAGAATGATCATACTGATCATAAGAAATATTTTTTAAAAATAAATTGAATAAAGAATAAATTTAATTTGCATAAGTCAAAACTGTGTCAATAGAATAAACGGTTTCAAGTGAAACCATATGTAGAACACTTGCATTAGTTAATAGTACACCATTTATTGATAAGTTATGTCTGTAAGAATATTATATACGTCTAATTTGGGTTAACCAATTAGACGCAAGTATTATAAGTATTAACCAATAGAATCAATACATAAGATTCTATTGGAAATTAGTATTAAGAAACGATGTTAGACTTAAGAATAAAAATTAATAAAAATCAGTCTTATTTGGACACTCAAAGCGACGCGTCTTTCTTTTCATAACCTAAGAACTTTACAATTTGATTAGGAAATTTTTATTTCTGTGTACCGCATGGTAACAGTGCATGCAATTTCGCTATGTTCGGTTATATACAATATTACTGGCAAAAGCGCAGAAAAAAAATATTTTTTTGAAAATTAATATTGTAATATTGACGCAAATATTGTTTATACTTTTAAAATTTTTAATGAAAACATGTATTTCAGGTCTTAATAGAGAAAAAGATCCGTTGCAAAAGCAGTGTTCGACTTCAAACCAAAATACTGCTTCCAGTGAAATTCTCGATGAAACAAATAGTCCGTTTGTCTACGTTGTTCCAAGTGACGTTCAAAGCTATACATCAAATATTTGTGCTGATTTTAATAATAAAGACGTAAGTTACTTAATATCTTATATCTTGGTTATTTTGAGTGTATGTCAGTTAAACTTTATGTGAATGTATAAATGTGCGTGTGTGTATATTTAAATATAATACGTATAAATTGCAGAGCCTTCAGGAATATTTAAAGGTCAATAACACATTAATTTGGCAAAAGTTCGAGAAGTCAAAAATTTTAACAAATCGAGATAGGATTGACATTTCCAAATCTTTTATTAAATATTTACTTGGAAATCCAAATAGAATGTACGTTATATGACAATATAAATATCATACTTAGTATATCATTGTAGTATGCATACATTTACATATATAAAGCAACTTCAATAAATATACTTTGTTGCTAAATAGTCTAAAAAGACTATATAATTTACTTTGTAATGCACAGCTACATGAATTATGCCTGGCCAGCACATTCCTGTTGCTTAAGCACACATGAAGCAGCAATGCTTTCATGTTATTTAAAACCACGCTATGTGCGATAAGATATTATGTATGCATGCTTTACCATTCCCTTAGATGCATAATAAGTGCTAACGTAAGCTATTATTGTATGTTAAGTTTAGCTCTAAGCTTATGAAGCGGAGCATAAGAACACATTCAATTTTAGACAAGCATACCGAGTGGATGCTATAATTAATAAACGCTTTTTACCATAAAACAACAAATATTATTTTATTTTAAAAATGAGTTGCAGTTCACACCACATGGCGACCGTGACAAATTAAACTAATTAATTTAGTGAATTAATTAACAATTAATTTTGGTGCCCAAAATTTTATGAAAAATAAAAACAATTTATAAAACAAATAAAAAAAAAAAAAGTTTGTTAAAATACATGTATAAATGTCAAATAAAGGACAAGTAAAAAACGATAAAACGTTAAATGCAACAAGTGTGAAGTGCAGCAATAATAATAATTAATTTAATGGCTAATCAAGGACCTAAAAAATTAACATTTGAAGAATACCTAAGAAGACAACAAATAAAAAAAGATCAATTATTAACACAAATATCACCGTCAGAAATTAAAAAGCCGAAAAGAAGAGGCGGACAACAAGCAACATTAAGGAGGCAGTTAGCCCACCTGAGAAGTCTTTTAGAAAGAAACCCTCCACCATCGTGGGAAGCAGCTACAAAAATTCAAGCAGAGTACGATCGCCTAAAGGAAAGGCGCAACCTACAACAAGAAAAAAAGAAAAACCAGAAGAAGTCAACAGCAGCGGTTATTAATAAAAATAATAAGCATTGTAATTACTATTGTAATAAAGAGTGCACTCCTTCGAAGTGAACCTTTAGTTAGAATACTAATGGCGGTAAACGCTGGTATAAAACCTATAGGTAGGGATTGATGTACATAAATAAATTATTAAATGAATATGTAAAATATTTTAATTCAAAGTTAAAATACAAACAAAACTACAAATTATGTTATATAAAATTTTATATTAAGTTATATTCATATAATAGTTATAAATATAATTATGGAGTACTATCTAGTAATGTATTTTATATTAGTATTCATATAGAGTTTTATAATTTCTTTATATATCTGGTCTCTGCGACACCAGCAATTTGTGACTTTGTAACTAATTTTATAATATTTTGTCTTTTTTTTTTTTTAATTTGTAAACTATAAAATTTATACAAGCATGGGAGGAACTAGCTCAAAGCCAGTGGTTAAAAACCCCAATGCTTTTTACCATAAAACAACAAATATTATTTTATTTTAAAAATGAGTTGCAGTTCACACCACATCATACTTATAACAGCTTGTATCTTTACAGATTATCTACAGTGGAACTAGAAGATCTAAGCTTCAAAATTTGTGAAGTTTTCCCTGGAGAAGTAGCTACCACATATTATCAAAAATTTTGTCAAGGCAGACATGCGCATGGAAAATTACATGATGCGTATAATAATTACAGGACGTCGTTGGCAGCTGCAGGTTTAATAGTACGCAGATCTAAATCCAAAACTCGAGTTGTTGAGACTTTAGACTTGGACAGAGGTAATTACAAATAACTGCATTTGTGAAAAATATCATTTTTTTTTAATTTATATTCTTTGAGCGTGTGTAACAGATAAAATAAACCTTATAATGAAATTAGTTATATTCTCTTATTCGGAAATAATCGAAACCATTTTCTTATTAACTTAATATTGTTAACTTTTGTTATCTTTTTTTGGTTTGCCAAACATAAATGTTGACATAGATTTGCAACAGTTGTCAACTGATATTGACATAAAACGTTGTCAACAGCCTTGGAAAAAAACTTCTGACTACAGAATTCAACTACTAAATAGTACTATATCGACATCAGATTACATCAAAACATGCCCAGTACTAGAGCAATGTAATGCATATGAATTGGTGAGATAATGTAGTAAAAATTGAAATAGGTTTTTGTTTTAAATGTTTCTACTTTCTCCAGATTCTTATTGATGTAGAGCTAAAATATAAGAAGACTTTAAATATAACCATACCAGATGCATTCTATTCCTCAATAATCCGGAAAACAAAGAATATCCGATCACAAACTGTAGAGAAGATTATTAGTTTAATTAATAACGAGAATGATGGTAGTAATCCAGCTTAAAATTAAATTTAGAAAAATTTTAACATAAATTTCAATTTTGTCTTAGAAACACAAAAATCATTGCTAGCTCTGATGTTAGTTCCTTTTTATTTCCCCACAACAACCCTGCGAGGGAAGAATATTGTGGAAGAATTATATTACTTGCTTTTATTATAAAAAAAATAAATAAAAATTTGCTTTGCAGAATCTTCATGAAGGCGAAAATTTTTACAGTCAAATTAATTCACTGGACACGAATCAACCAAGAATTATTTTGATTGGAGTTCCTATTCAGTTATCATGGGTTCTGGTAGCTCATATTAAGTACTGTTTTCCAACAATTGAAAAAGCTTTGGTTTGTGCAATGTCCGCATATCTTGGATTAAATATAAAATACCCGCCGGTTTCTGAAAAAGCTTGGTTCTTCTTACAAAAACACATGTTTCAAATATCAACTGCCTACGACAATAATTTGGAAAGTAGAATTAGTACCTACGTGAGTGACTTAAATTTAAATTTCCATAATTAAAATATTTTTTTTATTTTACTTTTTGGATGTTATCATTATATATTTCATTTATACTTTATAGATATAATTAATTTATAAGTTTTTATATTTAGCAAGTAAGATTAATTATCAATAATGAATTTGGTTTGCTTTCACTGTAATGAGCAATTTAATTATTACTCATTACTTAAACACTTAAAAACATTAAATTTGACCAGATATGTTTGCCAAATATGTAACCGAGTATATGACAATGTATACAGATTTATTCACCATTTGAAAGGACATAACACTTCCAATTTATGTAATGAAATGCCTCGGACTCCTGATATAAATTCCACAAATTTAGATATCACATACCAACCTATTACCCATTCCGAACTTCCTGCTAATGACTACCTCATGAAGTTTGTTAAACGTTGCTATTATTTCTGCTTTATATCTTGATCCGCGATTTAATTTTCTGGACTCTCCTTATTTTACAGATGAGCACCGAAAAATTGGATTGGTAAGTGCTAACTTCACGAATTGCATTTAACTTTTATATTAAATATACTAAAATTTTAGGTTCATATTTTAAAAACATATTCCACCATATCATCTCTGAACGGTATAAATGATGTTGATTTGGATTGTAGTCACGAAGAATTACCAACTACATCCGCTCGACCTGATGACCCATTCAAGGACTTGGAAGAAGAATATCAACTTTCCAAAGGTTGCTCTACTATTCTTACAAATGCGACCATAAGACAAAAATTTGACAAGCTGTCGTATAATGAAAGGATGCCATTTGGAACGAATGTTTTAGAGTACTGGAAAAATTTAGCTAGTACGGATAAAGAGATGTCTAAGTTAGTGGAGGTCATCTTAGCAGTACCATCAAGTCAAGTGTCCGTTGAAAGAGCATTCAGCGCCTTATCAACTATTATAACAAAGCAGCGAACAAAATTATGTGGTGAAACCATAAGTAATTTGCTGCTTGTCAAATTAAATTATAATTTATTGGAATCAGTAGATATGTAGTTATATACAAAGCTGATGTAAATATTTTATTCAAATATATATTTCTAAATCTAATAATAAATAATAGAAAATGTTGAAATAATCAGCATATAATGAAAACTATTATCAATCAATTTTGTTGGGTGCTTTTACGAATAACTCATAATAATTTTGTCATTTCATTTCTGTTTTGCAGGCAAACTAATCGCGAATTTATCAATGATAAATTCGCTAGTTTATCATTCGTTGGAATGGCGAATTTTTCATTTAAAAATTCGTGAATTTTCAAAATTCTCAATGAATTTATCAACGCGAAGAACGAATTGCAAAATCACAAACGAGAATGCAGAGAAGAACAAAATAACTTTGTGTTGTGTTTGCGTAGTTGTTCATTGAGAGTTGATACTTCATGAGCGAAAAGTTAATATTTTGTGTATATTCATTTTTATTATTCGCGAGATGAATAATTCGTGAGAATGAATTTTACTTTAATCGTTCTTATGGTATTTTCTGAAAAACATATTGTGTCCAGCGGGCTGCACACTTGGTACAAAATGGCAATGAGCAAAGAATACACTGAAGACAAAATTTTGGAGCTGTTATTGGAGAGCGATATTGAAGACGCTTCAGATGACAGTGATAATGAATTGTTAGATCACAATGCGCATGAAGATGCTATTGTTTTCGAAGATGAAGCAGATAGCAACTTTGATGGTGTTGTTGCTGAAAGCGTAGAAAAAATTTTTGATGAAGTGCTTAGCGTCGATGACATGTCAAAGTTATCAAATAGAAATATGAAATGGGTGTTTAAGAAATTTAATACAACGTACGAGGAGTTATCCAATGAGGACTCATGGAATGTTGAAAATCGAGAGAAGTGGACACCTTTTAATTATTTTTGTGATTATTTCAACGAAAATTTTTGGGCTTTTGTTAGTGAGCAAAGTAACATACATGAGTTACGTCCCCCTCACATACACAGTACAGTATAATGGGTAACAATGTATAAATATCCCATAGTGGACAATAATTAATAAGCACAAATAATGTAAACATAAACATCCTGTGCCACTGAATACAAAGTGTCTTTTGATTCACTGCGCCACAGTGAAAAATAAACATAAACACAAAATACTTAACTTATTGCATTTTAAGCATAAATATAAGAATTGTATCACTGCACAATTGTATGAAATGTAAACATAAGACTGATGCTCTAAAGCTCTTTTTAGAAGATTTAGAAGTCAGTCTTGGTCAAACTCACGCTAATAACGCACATAATATTTTCCAATAAATTTAAATTTTAAAAGTCTTTACTCAATATTGTTTTATTTATCGAAAATAAGTTTTTTTTTATGTTTTTTAATCGATAAAAACAAAATTCATGCATTGCAATGCAATGTTGATTTAAAGTCAACTCCAAATGAATATAAAAAGTTAGTAGGTGCAAACATCATTGCAGGTTGTATGAAACTTCCTAGAATTAGGATGTACTATAAACCCTCCATTAAAGTAACTGCAATAACGCAAATTCCAAGAGATCGGTTTTTTAAACTTAGAAATTACATGCATTTTGTAAATAATTTGGAAGTAATTAGTGAAGAGAAGGAGAAAAACAGACTTTGTTAAATTCAATCTATTTTGGATACAGTTATTAACAAATGCAATGCAATTCCAAAGAGTAAAAAATTGAGTATCGATGAACAAATGATCCCATTTAATGGAACTACTCAATTAAAGCAATATGTGAAATGTAAGCCGAATCCAGTAGGTTCAAGAAATTTGTTTAGATACTTCAATCCAAGCGTTTATAGGATTAACGCTTCTAAAATGTGAAGTGCTTCTTAAACAGTAATAAAATTCACATTTAATGATCCATCTTAGAAATACATTGTTGTGCATTAAATACGCACAAATATCAAAAATTTGTTTACTTCTGAATCTTTTGTTTACTTTAGACATAGTTACTTTTAGGTTTAAGTCTTTTGACAAAAATTGTAAAATTCAGTTTTAAGAAAGATTTCAATAAAGAATGATCGTAAGATCAAACTAAGAAACGTTTTTTAAAATTCAATTGATTAAAAAATAAATTTAATTTGTATATATAATATTAAATATATTATTATTATTATTTTGTCCGGTCCTGTGTCGAAGACACAAAAATACAAATTATTAGAGCTACTAAAGCAAAATATTTGTATTGCTCGGGGTCAATTTTCAGTAGGCCCAGATAGTCGTAAAAAGACTGAAAACTTTTGCAAAAAATGTTTTGAGGAACTAAATGCTTCTGGAGGATCCAATAAAACTCCAGAGCAATGGAAAAAAGTAAGTTAAAGTGAATAAATTAAAATTTTTGATACAAGTACTATTTGTTATTTTTATTTTTTTTAATTTTACATACATCCTAAACAAAATATATAAAATACGTCTAGCAATACATAATACAAACATTTTGCAAATTTTACCGCTACCGCACCTATTTCGTTGTGGTTACGCTAAGCATATGTATGCGGAAAAATTCTACTTATAATTTTATGTACTTTGTAGATTTTATTTTATTATTATAATTTATTAAATACAATTTATTTATCCTTATTAAACACTGTGTGTTTACCCTGCGGGATAGGGGTTAGAATATTCCCGCGGTAAGGCATGTCTGTCGTACGAGGCGACTAAAATCCAGCCAGTCGTCGGAGGGTGTGACGTAAAAGGTCACAAAAACCCTGAGAAGCTCCTGAGCTGAGCCGAGTAGAGGCCGGCTCTAAGTAAGCGTCCACCATCCCGGGATGGCAACGAGGGACATCCAAGTGCGCAGAGAGTGGTTAAACAGCTGCGCATCATCGAGGGATACAGGGGAGTGCACTGTTCCGAGAGCGAGCATCTGCACCATCGATGGAGTTCTTTCGTGCCCAACGAAAACTATACTAGGCACGTAAGCTGAAAAAATACACACCGAAACAGACAATGCATATCAAATAGACGCGATTATGAATTCAGGGTTTTAAACACCCATCAGGATTGAGCCCAGTAAGATCCTGATTATGGCATACTGGAACAAACTACTTAAATGATGATTTTTGGGCTGGCGGATGTGGTATTCTGTTACCTGAGTATATGAGAGTGAAATCTCATAGAAATGGCTTCCAGGTTAATGCCACATCTTCCTCCGTCCTTTTAAAACTTGGCAAGTCTCCAAGTACGTTCGATGTCTCGTCACCATTAAGTTGGTGGTATAGGCTCAGTTGAGAGTACTCCTGACTTGCGCCAGATCCTGGCTCTGAACACAATCTCCCATAAGGAATTGTGTCAACCCTCGCATGGCCTCCCTGCTTTGCATAGATAACCATGGAGATCGTTACGAGCGACTATACAATCGAACATCGATAGCGGCTAGGAGTTTGGACCCTATCGATATGAATAAAGAAAACAAAAACACACCACAGATGTTACCGAAAGTGCCACTGCAGAATGGCCAAAGGAAGTCCGCAATGAACGAGGGCACGCCAAAGGTGCCACCACAAAAGAATGTACTCATTTCACCGGGAAATGATATTAACACACCACAGATGTTACCGAAAGTGCCACTGCAGGATGGCCAAAAGAAGTCCGCAATGGACGAGGGCACGCCAAAGGTGCCACCACAAACGAATGTACTCATTTCACCGGGAAATGATATTACCCAGAGAATGAAGAGCGAAGAGGCGATGACATTCGAAAAATGCATAGTCGCCTCAAACAAAATAAAGCAAGCCGTAAATCGGCAAAGAAATGTCTCGACGGACATTAAAGAGGGGGTACATGAACTGGCGACGCAGTTCGATACGATGGCTTACTTCCACCGTCGTTGGCTTAAGGCAGAAATAAAAAAAAAGGCACGAAGGGATACCAATGCGGTAGACACACAAACCGTTCAGCGACAAAAACGTACAGCTACAAGCCCAGTGGCGGAAACACCAGAGAAAAAGCTGAAAACGAAAGAATCTGAAGCCCCCATCGAAGGCGCTGAAGGAAAAAACGAAGAAAAATGGGTAAAGGTAACAGGCGAAAAACAAAAAACGTCAAAAAAGCCTGAAGCACCTCCAAAGAAAGCGGCAAAACGAAAAGAGAAGCCCAGGATCCGTGAGAAACCGGAAGCTGTCCTCATCAAACCAAACGAAGGACACACATACGCGGATATCCTTAAGGATCTCCGAACGAAGATAAAGCCAGATGATGACGAGGTGGCCATCCGGTCTATATGTAAAACTAGGAGTGATTTCGGAGCATGCAGTGGATGGAGATCAAAATACTCCCGAAGCAGGCATTCCGGTAAATAAAAGACATGTTTTTTGTTTTACATATTAATAACAACAATTTCTGTTTTATTTTACAGTATCAGCAATCAGATTCCTATGAGATAGAATTTTTGAAGAGTGAAGAAATTATAGATAAAAACTTTGCTTCTCCAACGCCCACACTGCAAATAAAATCAGCGCCTTCTTTACCACCGGCAGCTAAAAAGTCGAAGAATGAGACCTACTTGTCAGAACTCGAGAGAGTAAAGAGCTTCATTGCTGAGCAAAACGATAGGCAGAACCGAACATTGCAAGAGATGCTCACAGTACTTAAAAGCATCGACAATATGTTGGACAAAAAATAGAATTTTCGACGATTAAAAGTTAAACGACGATTAAAAGTTAAACAAAAAAAATAGATCCAATTTTTCAAAATAGATCCCATTTTTATTCGCTGTCTTGTATTCGAGCTGTACGGTTGTGCTTGTGCTTTCGCTGCTACAAGTCTTGTCGCCTGTTGTTTATCGTGTGCGGTCGGTGCTGTTTTGTCCGATTACATTCGGAAGTGACGGGTTTCATGGTTGTGCGCGTACTGTTTAGTGCGAACGATTATTTTGCTTTTTTCGGTTATTTCTTTAGCCTAGGCACAAACCGTTTTTAGGTGTTCAAACGTGTGAACACCTGATACACGGCAAGTGCTTAATAGTACGATTAAAAGTTACATCGACGTTTAAAATTTCAACGACGATTAAAAGTTAAATCAAAAAATAGATCCAATTTTTGGACGATTAAAAGTTAAACAAATAGATCCAATTTGAGGACGATTAAAAGTTAAACAAAAAGTTAAACAGTGTTTCAGTGTGAAAGGATTGATTGTGAAAAAAAAGACTCAATAATTTGTATTAAAAAGAGATAGAGAGATAGAACCAAATACACCATATCTCCTGGCACAGGGGCATCAGAAGAGGACATGCAAATAGAACCAATGTCAGATAAAAACGTAAACTACGGTGGAAAACAAAAAACGCATGCATAATTGCAACATGCAAGAAGATTAACACCTAATCAAACAACGCGAAGACAAAAATTTAACGCATCAGAAAGGGAAGACTTAGCCAATCGAAAACAGGTCCATTGCTGCGCAAATCTGTAGCCAACAACAGAAACAGATTAACACACAACACCCAGCTACAGATAAACCTGATGCTAAACCAAACCAATGGATCGCCATTGCTAGGCCTCTCAAACTGAGAGATATCCAAATAAAATCCGCAAAGGGAGTGCACTTGGGTATACAGGTATCCCCTAACATCATAGAAGATCATCGTAAGATAACAAAATATTTAACAGAAAACAAAATCCAATACCACACATATCTACTGCCAGAGGAAAAAAATATAAACGTCATCATAAGATGACTGCAAGGTTTGTCTGCTGATAAAATTAAAACAGATTTGGCAGTACAGGGTTTTCACCCATATGAGTGTCATTTTTTGAAATTCTTAAACCAGGCAACAAACCTACTTAAAGCTCGTCTTCCAAAAGAGGAAAATCACATCTATAATATCGATGCAATCTGCTTCCTAAAAGTCAAAACAGAAGCACAAAATCCAAAAAGAGGCCCATTACAATGTCATAACTGCCAGAAGTTCGGGCACGCATCCACATGCTTAGGCAAAATGCGTAAAATGTATGGGCAGCCACCACACCAAAGACTGCACCAAGGCAGCAGAAGATGATGCAGAATGCATTAATTGCGGAGGCAAATATCCAGCTAGCTATGGAGGTTGTCCTCGCAACCCAAAAAATATCAAATGGGCAAAGCTTCCAAAACGAGAAGAATTTCAGCCAGCGCTAAAATCTGCAGAAAAAACGTCGACTAATAAGTCATTTGCTGCTGTGGTAACGGGAACAGCAGATAAATCAAGTCCAATGGCAAACAAAAACGAATATATCCAACAACTCTGCACTAACATGCAAATCCAGCTAAAAGCAGTGTTCAAAAATATGATGCAATCCATGTTGCAGGTTATGCTTGCCACTAATACAAATAATCATGGACAGTAAAGAATATTGAAGCTAATCACCTGGAATGCAAATTCCATTCTGCCCAAAAAAGGAGAATTCGAACAATTTATTGTAGATTATAGCCCTGACATAATTCTAATACAAGAATCTTCTCTATACCCAACACCCGGTTTATTTTGAAATACGTTGACTCAATAAACAGGGGCAGGATTAAATAATTCAAAATTAAGCTTTTGTGAAAAACTCTATTTTTATAGTTTAATATATAGTATTTTATTAATATTATTATTTAGAATATTTTATATTAAGCATTTTCATATAACGTTTAGTTTCAGGATGATAACTTTAGACTAAAGTCGAAATATCGATGAAATAAAAATTATAGTTAAATAAATTGCAATTTCTTTTACTTAATTTTTATTTTTTAACAACAATAAATTAAATTTAACCGATTCACCTACAAAACACTTTAGTAAACCTTATATAAGAAATTCGATGCTTATATAAATGGTAGCAAAAATTTTCCATTTAAAGGAGCAAGGTAACAATTTATATAAACATACAAGTTAACACCCTGTATTAATATAACGACACTTTGCCTTTGCACACAATTTTTGTATCTTAAGTATGTGCATGATCGATGAGATAAGATGCCCAAATACTATTGGATATTAATCTCGTCATCTGGCTATTGACGCCAAAGCTAAAGACGCTTACGAGGCGCTTTAGAAAATAGAAGCTTCAATCCTATAGGATGGAGATAAAGAAGCTTCTGGAATATTCTTATGCATTTTAGAAGCTACAATTTATTGGTGAATCCAATTCTAAAATTCTCATCAACGACTTAAGACATCAGAAGGAAACTTCTAAAAAAATCAGTCGTTGGGAAAAGTTGAAATAGTTAAGTTGTGTCATTGGAAAGAATTAAATAAGTATAGTCGTTGGTTGGAACAAATATAAAAATTAAAATATTGTATTATCCTAAATTATTCTAATAATAGTTTTTTAAAACTTAAAACAAAGAATCCGTTAATTAATTTACATATAGAAGGAAGGAGTACTAATATAATTTTAAATTTTCATTTAATATAATTTGTCTATATAAAATTTATTCAACAGCTATGTATTGTTTAATAAAAACTATTAAAAGTTCTAATAGCAAATACGTCACCATTATCAAAACCAATATTATTTTTTAGTTAAAATGAGCATTTCGGTTTATATTTTTATAAACGAATAACTATATGAGCTCAGATAACTGTCTTCATTCATTCATGCTCTAATATATATTTACTTAATATTTATATATTGTTATTATATAAATATAACAATATATAGATTATATTCACAAAACATTTATATATACACATAGCAAATTGTTGCTTTTGTGTATATAATTGTGTTTAATTTTATTTTAAAGAATAAATGTTAATATTTCATATTAGAACTTTATCGTTGTTTCTTTGGTTAAAACAAATCAGAAAACAAAAATTAATTTCAGTAAAAATTAAATAAATTATGCGAAATTTAAGAAAAATTTCATGGATATCCATAGAATTTTTCTGCTATGTGTATATGTATATACATGTACACATACATGTATAAATGTATATATGATTATATAATATAAAAACTTAAATATTAATTTATAGATCACTGCACTTTTAATATAATTCTTACTTTTCAGAATTTTTTGTTTGAATATGTAGTAACTACAATCAAGGGTATAAAACTATTTCACATCGTTAATTGAATATTTATATACATGATATATAATTTAGGTAATAAATTTAAAATATTTTAAATAGGATTAAGTCAAATTATTTATATTGCCTATTAATAGTTTCAAATTATGTAAACTTATACTAAAATACCTTTGGACGTAAGTTGCTTTTGAATTTAAAGTAAAGATTGTTCGAGCATAATTTTATCAAATCCAGGCGGAGGGCCGTAATTAAAACTCTCTAAAATTATATCAATGACCGCTCCATTGCCGACTATAAAAAGATAACAAATATTATAAGTTAATTTTTCTTTAAAATGCTATTTCAATATATTTACCATAAATAACAGGATACACTGCACCTTTAACATTACGAAAAGGCGTTTCTAAATTTTTTCCATTAAAGTAAAAATTTAGTTCAATATGATCAAATGCAATGCCTATAATGTCACCCTCATCAGGAAATACACGTTCCGTCGACGTCGCTAAGGCATTATCAGTGTTTAATATTTGATCGTTACCACTTGGTAAAAACACATCCTCTGGCAAATCTTCAATGCCTATGAGACCTGCGGCCGACGCTGTCTCACTAATTGCATTATTATTACTATTTATTAAGGAATGTAAAGGAACACTCGTAGGCTCTTGTGTATTTACAACAACTGGGCGGAATTCTTCATTATTGTGTCTAGTCGCATTATCTGAACATAAACACCACGATTCCTTATCACAACCACCAAATTTTCTTGTGAAATCTGTTTGTCTTGTGGCCAAACCAACGGACCAACAACCAGATTGTTGTATTTTAATTTCAAAATATGACTTTGATTGCACGAGTGGCGCAGTACCCAGAGCTGCGCCGTTACCAGTAATACGCAATTGATGTGAGAGCAAAACTACGTCAGGTCCTACAACAATGAGAAATAAAAGGAAAATTACTTTATAACGGGACATTGTAATACACAACCGTAAATTACCGCGTAGGTAACAATACGTCACAAATTAAATAAATACAATAAAACGCAATTGACTATATGTTTTATAAATTATAATTTAATGTGTTCTAATATTCAATTTATTTAGTTTGTTTAAAAATTTTTTCAAATTTTTTACCCATATGCGCGGCATCCAGATGTATTTCAGGTTCCCGTAAACGCTGCGCTGCTTTTGTTGGCTTTCGCATATTGCCATTAAAACAAGTGCGTAGACAACAAAACATTTTTGTTTATAGAGCTTATTTATCTTTTATAATAAATAACTATATATTAGCTATGTTATTTGTAAATATATATAAAATACACAAGATTTTATTTTGTTAATTTTAAAATACAATATTCACTCGTCTCACGGCAGCATATCTTGCAAGCAACCAAAATGCAACTTAGAACAAAATGAAATTGAAACACATCGTTCTATGGTGTGTTCAATGAAGACCAAAATTGCAATAAATTTAATATATGATTATATGTTCAATGAAAGTCATGGTCACATATAATATAATATCACATATCTTATATGTGTAAATTTTTGTAATTAATTTAATAACTATAAGCCAAGCTATAATGTAAAACACTGATTAAAACAAAATTTATATTGCGTCAACAAGTGCATTTAGCGGGTCTTTGATGAGGTAAAAAAACATTCTCATTAGAAAACAATATAAGAAATTTTTTCTAATATCATACATTAATTAAAAATTCAATTTTCATTTTCCAAAATCGAGTTTTTTATAATCATACAATTTGCGATTTTTTTGCATGTTTTACAATTTTTCCTTAATTTATCTAACCAACAAATAAAATTTACTTATTTAGGTCGTAGGCGAGTTAGGCAAATATGGCGTTCACACTGATCAAAAATGGAATAAACCATTTGAAAGTGTTTACATTCGTTGCATTTTATATATTCTCCTTTACAACAGCTGATTTTTCAACTAGCCTGTTGATTTGATTTTTAGCCCGTGACAAAAAAATGTTGCATGAAGATTAAATATGCCTTCAAACCTTATACGGCGTTTACATTGGCCGAAAATGGCTCATTTTGAATGACTCATTTGAAAGTGTACATTCGTTGTATTTCATTCGTTCTCATGGTAACAATTCAAACTGAAATAAAACTACTAAACATTTGTTTATCTTTTTTTGTAAATATGTCAAAACAGCTTTTACAAACTGTCAAAATGCCATGAAGAGCTTTCATTTAGGGTATGTTCAATAGATTCCTTTGCATTTGGAACATATGTGGAATGCATTCGAACGTCATTCATACAGAATGTGAGAAAATTGCTCATTTTGTGCTTGAAATTTTATATGCAAGAATGAGCCATTCGATACTCATTTTCGATTTTTGACCAAAATGAGCCATTTTCGGCCAATGTAAACGCCGTATTACAATATGAACTTAAAACATATTTTTAACTTCGATTAATTACTTTTTGGGAAGTAGAAGTTCTGAAAAGAGGTGCATCGTTTTCAAGAAAATACAATCACCAAACATTTGTTTACCTTTTTTGGTAAATATGTCAAAAACAGCTTTCTCAAACTGTCAAAAACTCATGCAAAGCTTTTATTTAGGGTATATTCAATGTATTCATTTGCATTTGGGACATATTTGGAATTTATTCTAATTTCCTTGGAAGTCATTTGCGCTTGAGATTTTGTATGCAAATGTAAGTCATTTGTTTCTCATTTTTGATTTTTAACCGAAATGAGCCTTTTGAGGCCAGTGTAAATGCCATATGATGACCGTGTGCGAGTTCGAGTAAATTGAGGTACAGTAAATTGAAATTTCAAAGGGGTTTTTGCACTGCACTTATGTTAATATTTATTTATTGCACTTATTTATTATTTTTGGTTTAAAGTTTTCAAATTTATTTAGTAAACATCTTATAAAATTTTTACAATGGTAATATACTTAATTTACCCAATTTTTATCTAATTTACTTTACTCGAAATACTGTTTAATATGAACATTCGCTGCTATACCGACATAATTTATTGTTTCCTTCAATTTACCATCAATTTACTGGAACTCATATAATTTAATGTTTCCATAAAATCAAGTAGGACAAATTATTTAGCAAAATGAATGCAAGATTTAAACTATATATAAATATATATTATATATATTTAAACTCTAAGGACGTGTGCGAGTTAGGCTAAGTTGATGCTAAACCAAATGGGAGATTTTTTGGGATTTTTTGCACTGCACACATTTTGCCATTTATCAACACGTATCGACACATCAATACATTATCGACACAACTTAGAATTTCCCTCATTTAGAACGCAACTTAGCCTAACTCGCACACGACCTAAATATATTCAATGAATTTTTAGTTCATCTGTTTGATATACATTATAAAAACAATATAAACTAATTGCATTTTCGATTGGTTAATCTGGATTCAATTTAGATTTACTCTCGATGGCTCAAATTTTGTTGCTCAATCGAATATTTTCAGAGTAATCTAATATTTTTATAGTTGTGTTAGTAAATAAACCAATTGAAATAAAATGCTCACTCTGACTTCTTTTACTGTACAGTTGTACACAACATTCACCACAAAATCTTTTTTTCTTTTTTTTTTTTGTTTCAGCAAATTGTTACAGGTTGAAAAATATATCTTCATTTGCATTTGCCCCCAAATGTGCTTTTATTTTGATTTTATACATTATTTCAAAATAACAGCCAAATACCTGAACAAACAAATTGGGCACATATGGAAACAAATCACGCTTTTATATCTGTCAAATCATATAAAACAGCTTTTTATTTTAGGGTAATCTTGCCACTCTAGCAAAATATCTAGAGTGTTATAAATTGATCTCGAGTTTTATACATTAATCTCGAATGTTACCAATCGAAAATTGCATTAGAGTGTTATAAATTAATCTCAATTCTTATTAATTTACCAGTGGAAAACCACATATGGTATATTGATTGTATGTATTTTGTACAGAAAGGTTTTATTCAATGATTATTTACTTGTGTACACTACAAATAAAAAAAATTACAAATATTATACTATACAATATTTTGTACGTTACGAACGAAATTATATAAAATTTAATTTTTTTGGGACAAGTTAAAGAAAAATAATTTTGATTCATAATATAATAATTAAATATATAATAATATATAAATTACATGTAATATGATTTTAACTTAAATTTTTGATGCTGTGCGAGTACTAACAAAATGGCGCTTAGCCACTACTTAAGGGCCCATTAGACAGCAACGCTCGTTGTCATCGCGCGCTTGCCATTACACAAACAATTTTTTAACATTTTTTTAACAATTTTTTAAAAACGCCCCAGATAAAACAACAAATATACTAAAAAATCGCTCTCATATGATAATTTTTCCTCCTACTTTTCTCCTACTTTGTGAAATGCGAAATTTGTTTGTGTAATAGTAACATTTGAAATTTTAAGAAATGTGTTGACGAAAATCAAAAAATTTTGAAATTTCTTCAACCACGCTCGTGTTTTTGCATATACAGTCGGAATTGGTCGGCATGCAAAATTTAATTTATTTTGAGGAGTAGAAGCGTAAACATCGTTTGAATGCACGCATGATTTGTCGTTAGCATGCGATGCTTTGCAAATATGAATGAATTGTATCTTTTATTTTAAATATTTGTATTTTCTACCTTGGTAAAATTTTTTATTTTCCAAAACATGTTATTAAGAAGAATTAAAATATTAATAACCTTCGGCTAAAAAAAAATAACCAAACATTAAATTACAATGAAAATTTTGTTTTAAATATTAATTGCATTGTGCACCTACGGAAAATTTGTTATTAAAATATACCAAAAAAAAATTAAATTATATAAAATTTAATATATACCATATAAAAATAAATATATAAATTGAAATCATAAAAATAAATATATAAATTAAATGTAAAACATCATTTTTCGAAATTACGCATAGTAGCCGCTGTCGACACTTCAGCGATTGCTTTAATACTGATGAGTGAACAAATTTTGCATTGTTTGCTGGAGACGTGTTTAAAAAATTGTTGGTAAATTTAATGTGTAATAGCAAGAGAAGACTTCGTGCGTTTGTCAACGCGCGTTGCTGTCTAAGGGCCGCTTTAATTGAATTGAGTGCTGTTCTTCCTGTATGATCACTCAAGATAGAAGACATTGTATGTCAAAAATATCGAGTTTAAATAAAAACTAATATTTATTAAATTTACCTTGGGTATTCAAGTGACACGAGACGGGTTTTAAGTTTCATGGAGTTTTGTATAATCTATTGAAAAAAATAATACTTTTATTATATATAATTTTGAGCGGGGAGCTGTATGTGGGCTGCCGTTTTAAAAGACCAGGCGCGCTGGACATATAAATAAGTATATATTAAGTAAAAGACCTTAGGTATCCCATTCACTACCCCGTGGTTCGTTCAAGAATTAAGTACTCATCACCGAATATTTACGAAGGTACAACCACTTTCTTCAAGTGCAATTCTGCCCCAGACAGGTGGATCTGGAAGTATAATCCATATAGGCATTCCCCACACAAAAAATGAAATTTAATTCTTTTACAATTTAACTGTCCCTCCCGCAAGAACGAGCTCCGGATTCATTGTCTATTATTGATAATTGATAAACTCTCAAAAAACGTAAATGTGAGCAACGGACCCTGCTACAACTTTAGTTGTAAGGACCAAATTTTCAATAGAAATAAAAAATTTTAATTCACAAACCGAGTATTCACCGTACCTTAAAAATTCAATTTTTTTGTTCTATATCTAGGTGAGAAACTCTCTGCCGCTAAAAACACACCATTTATCTCTAACGAGTTTTAATTAAATTTGTAAAGTCATTATTTTTCTACGCTTTCGCTACTACCAAAATTCGGCGAATTTTGATAATTTCATAACTGTGCACTCTATGCTAGTATTCTTACTAAATGGTTTCCCACGCTTTTAATACTAGCAAAATTCGGTGAATTAACGATGCACTTTATGAATGCAATGTGAGTATTGTTCTGCAAAGAATTTTATATAAAAAGAAGCCAAATTGTGGTTTCGTTCAATTTTGCACTATTGAAGGAAGGAACAATAGTGAGAGCTCGGTTCAGGTGATCTGGACACATGATGGTTCGTTTAGCCTTTGCAAACGTTCACCATATGAACAGATGAATTTGGACAGGCGAGGGGATATTGGTTAAGTTGACTTTCGTCAAGCCTATACTGAATATAAAAGCAAAATAAACTTTAAATCAGCCAATCGGATTTTCATCTAGTCATTGCTAGTCAGATGGAAAATAAATGGCGACACACCAACACTGTGTTATGTGTTTGCTAGGGACGACAGTGGGAGTTCGGTCTAGGTGATCTGGGTTCATGATGA